AGAAACCATCCAAAGGCTAAACTGTTCCAAGGACGTTTGAGAGTGCTGAAATGGAGCACAGTGCAGAATTTTCTGGTTAAGCTGCATGTCATCATGAAGTGACAAATAACTGAAATGGAAGCTCTCCTCACTTGGTTTGGATAAGATAAAGCAGAGTTGACAGGAGCTCTCCACCATTCCTGGTCATCATCCTGGACTACTGGCTGGCTGGTTTACACTTCCCCCATTCAGCATCTGAGTACTGCAAATTTTAACTTTTCCCATCTGAGTACATCCCCCCATTCAGCATCTGAGTAGCACAATTTTTTAACTTTTCCCATGCAACATACAGAGTGTCAGCAGTACATTCCCCTTCTAGAAAGTAACTTGTCAGTCCTATATAATTCAGGCCCTCTTTGAATCTACTCTACAAAGTCCTTTGAAAATCTGGCTCTTAGCATAAAACATATTCTGTGTTATCTGGATCATTTTTTAGGGGTCCAGAATTCTACTAGATGCTCTTAGGCCATCTTCACTATGTTATAAGGGCAAGTACCTCAGCTATGCTTACACTCCATGACTCAAAAAGAATGCCAAAAGGATGCAGGTTTACTTTAGAAGATCTCTTTTTTTTTTTCTTTATATAAGAATATTACCAGTCCATTAAACTTGTTTAAACTTTATCTTTTTAAGTAAAGAAATTATGGCCTCAGCGAATGTATTTTGTTCTGTATCAGAAGTATATCCCTTGCCTATAAGCATCACTTTTAATTTAAAAGAGTTCCTCAAAGGTATTTCTTAAGTAAACCTTTCAAGGTTTTTATAGGGTAACCTTCCTCCTCTCCCCGACTTTGCACAAATGCTTATTTAAATTTGAAGTTTATATGAATTTTGATTCTACAATGGTTTTATAGTCATGCTGAACTATTCCTCAAAACAACTCAAAACTTGCATAGACCAGTTCTGTCTTTCACTACGTAAACCTGTTATTTAGATTTTAGGGTGGGTAATTTTGGGTTCGGGATTTTTTGTTATTATGTGGGGGTTATTATGTGTTGCACCTCATCAGAGCACTAGCTGAGAAAGCTGCAGGGTGCTTTGCTCTCTGTAATGTTAGCATGTTCTTTTCCCCATTTTTTGTATCTTTGGGCACACACTGTTCTGTCTTTCCTACTTGGAAATGCCATGGGCACTGCTCCTAAGTGACGGTTGTCCATAGAGCCATCCTAAGCAGTACAATTAAAGTAACTTCCAGTGAAAGTTTTGATGGTGAGAGAAGACAGACAGTTCAGAGGACATACCAGGCACCACTGTGGCTGGTGCTGGCAGTAGGAAACAGATGGTTACCAGGCCAGAAAATAATAATGGAATTCTTCTATGGCTCAGGCTGCAGGTGACCAACTTTAACAAAACAAGTTGAAGCTCTAAGTCTGCAGCCCTGTGAAATGCTACAGTGAGAAAGGATTTGCTGCAGATATCAGAAAACAGAAGAACCAGCAATTTAAGCAATTAAGTAGGCAGGGGAGATTACCAGGAGGAGTGAGACAGCTATTTTTGCCAAGAATTTTGGAATATGTGCCCTAAAAACTATTATAACTTCCGCCACTGAATGCCAGCCCAGGAGAACAGTGTGAAATGCCAGATGTCTGCAGAGCCTTTAGTACAAGCTCCATCTTTGTATCCTTCTTATCCTTCTCAGGAAAGGCTAATTGCAATGATATCCACATAGTGACAAAATGAGTCAACAGTGGAGAATGTGCTGCTATCCTGAACCATGAGATACTGTCAGATGCTGGTATCTACCATTAAAAGCCTTCATATTGAGTTAATTGTTGATTTTTTAATTTTTTTTTTTCTGATTGTCACATGCCTAAAACCTGTGGCTTCCAGTTACATGAGAGATCTTAGCATGAAGTAGGGTCATGGAGAGGACAGAGCAAGTGCATGAACCCACCACCCCTGTAAGGTAACTCTTACACACGTGCCATGTGCTAACACTGTAAACCCCGGGCTGCCAGGAACAATCTGGGGCATGATAATCCTGTAATGAGCAACAGCAGGTGCTAAAGTGCTTAAAGTAAATCACTCCTGCAGTCAGCAAATTGTTATTTATGTCAGCACCACCAAAGAGTGCAAATCTGATAGGATGGGTGGCAGCCAGTGACCCCTGGAACTGGGGGATGGGAGCTGCAGGGGATCCCTGGGCAAGCAGAGCAGGGCAGGGCAGGGCAGGGACCATCTCACTGCCCCCACCAGGAGCAGTACAAACTGGGGACAGAGCACCCTGGGGACAGGGACAGCCAAGGCTGGGGCAGGACATCTGCCTGCAAGTGGAGCTGGGGATCAGGGAACCAGGGTCAGGCCCAGCCCAGAATGACTGAAGCATCAATGCAGAGCCAAGGAACTGAGTGTGGTGTTATAATATTGTTTGTTGGTTTCTAATTTTGATCAGGCTGGAAAGAGATTTCTTCTATCTCCTTAAAGCCTTTTGTTTGTTTGGATTGTGAGGAATTCCTATTACTTTTCCAGCTCAGCATGTCTGTGGGTACACCCAGAAACTCCAGCCACTGGAGATACTGCTAAAATAATAGCCAAGGCAGCACTGAGCACAGCACAACACAGTATGTTTCCAGGATTGGTGCTTTGCTCCAGATGTCTGGAGTAAAATCTTCAGAAGGAAATGGTCCTCCATTCCTCTCCTCTCCAGCCAGTGAGGGATATGGAGTTCCCACACCTCTCTGAGCCATGGCACAGGAGCAGCCTCCTGCACAGGTGTTGATGAGACTGAAGGTCTGGCCTGATACGTGCTTTCTGATGGCAGCCTCAGGCAAGGTAGATTATTTCATCCAAACATTTTAAGTGTATTTGGACAAATTACTCTTGCCCAAGGATGTATTATACTAATGAAATTATGCTGTCAGCCATTGCAGGCCTGGCAGGAATTGCAAACTATTTTAATCCTCCAAGAACACATTTGCCCAGGCAACAATTTGACATGTCATCAGTAAATTCTTAGCTCAGCTTTTTAAGAGACAGGAACACACAAAAAAGGACTGATCTCTGGGTTACTGATTCCTATCACAATTGCATCAAATTTTCTCCTAAAGTCTGTAGCAAATTGATCTATGGGCTGTATTTTCCCACCTGTATACTGGAGGTCTACAGGCTTTAGGTGGGCTTTTTAGCATAATGCAGTAGCTTGTTGGGTTGATTTCAAAAGAACATGGAGCTTGCCAAAGGTACTTAAAGGGAAGATAAAAAAGAAAGGTAATTTGTCCTTGTAAGTACCGATGCAACATGAGAATAGATCTCTGTGCCTTGTAAATTCAATGCCTAAAGAACAGGTCCTCTGTTGAGTGCTGGGCTGCTGTGAGACAAAAAGATCAGCCCAAAGGAGAGTCAAATTGCAGCTCAGTAGTATTCTTGGCTGAGACCCTCTACTGATCTTGAGTGTCACTGTCCCTAGTCAGAGCAAGAGAAATAAAAAAAAAAAAAAAAATGACAAGAACAAGGTTCAGCTTATCTTTCTACAAGCTGGACAGGTTATTCTGAATCTGGCATCCTATATTTTCTTTCCAGTCAGGGGAAAGAAATCCAGTTGATGTGTCATCTGATCCATTTTAAGCATCTCTATAAGAATGAGAGGAGCTGCACTCTGAAGGTGTCTGTTTTGGTTTTGTTTTTTTCCCCATTGACTACTCATTGAGTATACAGTGATTAGCTCAGATTTAGATGTATGGCTTTTAAGCTGCAAACTGGGACACATTATTCCCAGGCTACTTTTCGTTCTTTTCATCTTTTTAAAAGATTTCTCAGTATTCTATTCCTAATCAGCACAGGATGAGTCAAGAGTGCACAGCCTTGTTGATTCATCCTTCCCCCAAAATAACTCTTCAGCTGTGCCCAATTTTCCTGGTCCCCAGTCTGCATTGCTCTGTTACACCACACCATTCCTGAGCAGATTCCACACAGGACAGTTGTTGTGTGGAAGGATCAGACAGATGCAGGGGGAAGCGCCTGTTGCAGGGTGGTGTGGGAGTGAGGCCAGTCCTGGATCTCACATGGGGTCCTTCTCTTTACAGAGCTGACATTTTTCCCTGTGACAAGACACACAAAGCAACTGGTGTCACTGCTGACTCACACTGGGTTGTGTTCATCAGGAAATACCCTGACATCAGTCTTTACTGGTAAATCTCTACAATAAGATGCAGTAGCCACAGCTGTTTCTGCACCAACAGAGCACCAATATTATCCATCTTCATTGTAAGACAAAAGAAAACCCATTTGATTTAGGTCAGGCTTATTTAGATTCATTGTGGTTTTACCAGCTGGCTTCCCTCCAGCACCAGTGTATGTATCTTTGTGTTACTTCTCAGCAGCAGAAACATACTGTTCTCCCCAAATTACAGATGGGATGCTGAAGCAGAATTCATCTTCTCCCAGGCAACAAAGGGAGGGGTGAGAAGTTACATGGGAATCAGAACACAGGAACTTTAGCAGCCTAGAAATGGAGCCATTGAGAGCCCTTTCTGTGGGGTGGTGCATTGAGCTACTCCCAGAACCACAGGCAAAGCCTGGTCCCATCAGCATGCTACTCCTGTAGACATGAGAAACTCATTTGATCTCTACATGGTTCTTCTTAGTTGGTAGTTTAGGGCAAAGATTAGTGAAGTGGAGGAAAACTGGATTCTAAGATGTAACCTATAAGGCACTAAATCCAATGTTTGTATTTTTGGAAGAGAGGGTTAAACTTATCTGCCAAGTAAATAAGGTACTGCCACCTTTGAAAAGCATCATTATCCAATCTAGAGCTGTCTGCCATTAGTGTGACACCTGTGTGTAAAATTATAAGACTGTGGCAATTAGCTATAATTTTAGTCCATGCACATTATATCTGCTTCCAACTAGAGTTAGTTCAAAGTACATGTCATGTTTGAGACAAGTTTGGCAAAACCAGTAGAGGCTTAACAACACAGAGTTTCATTTGCTGATTTATTAATTTATTTATTTGCTTGCTACTGTGTCTGCATCACATTTGTAAAAAGGCCTGCACAGCATCCTTCTCTACTGGAAATGTATTAAGCCTAAATTATGCACTTCATCTTTGCCAATAGAGATAGAATATCATAAGAATCAGGGAAACTGTCAGTTGTACCACCTAGTCAGTTTAAATACAGAGAGCCCATTAAATAAAGTATTTAAGCAACAAAATATCGTGCTTCTTATTAATGATATCACCCCAGTTCTCTGCAGCCTGTGGTTATGCTGCATAATTACATAATAATCAGCCACACAGTCAATGCCTGTCCAATAAACATTTTAATTTTATTCCATCATAGAACAGTACACTGCTGCTAAACTGATTAATTAAAACCAGATATCACGACTCAATACCACATTTAATCATGAGACTCTAAAATAAAAAAAGAAAGGGTTTTTTTTGGAAATAAGAAATGTGTGCTTACCAGCATTTGAGATTTTAAATTTATATTTTCCAGAAACCATATATTTTCCATACCCTATATTTCCATACCCATTTCCAAACCATATTTTCCATACCCCATATTTTATATGGGGTAAATACTTAAAATGCCTTAGTTACCTCAGAATCATGACTCATCTGAAATTAATGGAAATACATGAGTAATCATGTAAAGGCAGCATACTGTCAAGTGCTGAGTTAGGATATCAAATTCCCCAGTCCATCAATTAAAGCCACTTACACACTACAGTCAGTATATCTGGAATATCAAGTACATTCAACACTGAAGGAAGAAGTTTGGCCAGACTCAAATCTTCACGTCTGATCCTGTCTTCCTCTGATGTTCAGCTCCATTCAACTGCTGACCACAACTGTCAGCAATCCAGTTTCCCATTTTTGGTTTCAGATTTCTTCAGTGTCACATATGATGCACGTATGCACAGAGACTTGAGAGGAGGCCAACTTTATATTGGAATGGTTGGCAGCATTACATAACATCACCCTGTTGTGAAATCAGGGGAAAACCAGATATCACTACGCTCCCATATCTACTTTAAATAAACCTGATTCTGTCATCTAGGCCTAAAATAATACTGCATACTATGAAGTACTTGAAGGATTAATTAATCCTAAATGTGCTGAAATATTCATATCAAAGATATTACAGAAAGCCATCTAACTGTTCATTTTTGCAAATGTAAAAAAAAATGCATTTCACAGGACAACAAAACAGTAAGAAAAGCTCAAGATAGCACAAGATAAATCCAGGAATTTCAAAACACTCATTCACCCAACCTCACCAAATCAAACAAATAATCCCTACATGATTTGGGAAAGCCAAAAGTGTAAAAGTTTTATTTTGATCCAAAGACACCTACACTTTTGAAACCAACCACTCTTTTTTTGTTGTTGCAAAGAAATTTGAGTTGTCAAATTTAATTACCATGTTTGTCCTTATTTTCAGAAAACCAGGAAAGAAATGAAATGCCAAGTAATTAAAAGAGTATGAGTATTGAACTATAACCATTTTCCACAACAAAAATTACAGCTGGACATACAATTACAATGGTAAAAAAGCAGAAGTTTTAGCAATTAGTTATCATGCTACTGCATTTCGAATCCCAAATTAAATCAAATTGTTCTTGGCAATTTGAAACAGGGACTAAATAGGACATAGTCTGCTCTTCTCCCAAGTCATTCCTGTACCAATACATGTCTCTTTTAAGGCTTCAAAAGAAGTCTCTTTTCATGTCCTCAGTGAGGAACAGCCTTGAGGGAAGCATCCAAGTCTCCTGTTGTGAAAAACTGTTCTGTCATATTTGTGCAGTTTTTCCAGTTATTCTGAGGTGCTACACAGACCAGACTTGAGTGCACTAACATTTGATTAAGAGACAGCAGTAGGAAATACTTGCTGCATGAATCCAAGAACTGGATCTTTGTTACTACTGCAGATGTCCCTTGTCTTTTATGCCAATAGAGCCACTATGGTGATTTTTTCCCCTCTCCTTCACCACAGTGACAAACACCAGCACAACAAACATTTGGAAATTTTTCATGTGAAAAACATAAACAGAAGAGTGCTAACCTAACCAGCTGTGCTATGGTGTGAGGAAAAAACCAGCCAGGCAGACCAACCTGCTTATGAAAGAATGATATACCATGTGCACCATGGTAACATGACAAATATCTGTAATGAATTTCATACTATGTAAGTGAAAAAAACCAGGGATTTCCATACTGAATATGCTGTACCATGCTGCACGTCTTTGCTCCCTGCATTTCAGAATGACACCATTGGTTTGTCTTTTACTATGAGTTAATTACAGTGTCATTTTAATGCTGCCAGGAATGAGGAACTATTAGTACTGCTCTTAAAGAGGGAAAAAACTTTATTGCAAAGAGTTAGGAATGCTCTTAAAATAATAAAGGGCAGTGAAGCAACCACTTTTACTCTGCCAAGAGCTTTTAAGATGTAACCCAGAGGATTGAAGCTTCATTACAAAAACATTTTTCCCATTGCCACTTGAAAAAATTTTGCTGAATTTAATGACTAAAATGTGGGTAATAAAACTGCAACAATAATTGCATGCTTAAGAATGAAGAGAAAAAATAGTTCTACTTTCACTGAAGAGATGATTTTTAGGACTGGCACTATTTTGGATCCTAAAAGCACAAGGATCAATGTCACTGAAGAAGACAGAGATTTTTATGACCCAAGACTGTGGATACAAGGGTTCATCTGAGAATTCAAATTTCAAAGAGCAACATACCTCTATCAGGATATGTGTTTCTGTATAGAACATATATAGTGTTTAAAAGAAACAACATTCCACAAGATAGGCTCTGAAGATTCCTTAATAAAAAGTGACAAATTTTTCTGTCATTTCTATCCATTACTAGTGGCTGAAGCAGCTGGAAATGGTGCTGTGCTTCTAAACCATGTAGACAGAAAGTAGTAGTCAACATGGTATCTGTGGCAAGCTAGCTTTTAAAAAAATTTATATTTAGACAATACTTCAGGTTACATCAGTCTGCCTCCTTCTTCTTGGATTGAGGTCAAAAATACTAGAGGCTTGTTTGTTTTCCATGGCTGCATAGTTCAAGGATCTACATGGTGTAAAAGACATTAAATATTCTCCAACTTTTCCAACACCCTCAGAATCACTGATGTGAAGCAGAATGGAAATGGTCAGAGGTCACCAGTACAAAAATGGCAACTAGAAGATCAATTCCATTAGGCAGAGGAACACTTAAGACTAAGGCTGCCAAGAAGACATTGGGGTCTGGCATTGCAATAAGACACACTTTCATTTTCAATTTAGAAAGTTTCAGTCAAATTAATTTTTTAAAAAAGTGACTGGAAGTTTTTTGCATTAATATTAAATCAGTGCTTTAGCTGTGGAAGTTGGTTCACTCCTACAATCTTTTTAATTGATCGTTAACCTGAGGATTAACCATCTTCAGGTTTCCTGGAACACTGTGTCTTCCTCTGAAAAAAAAATGGGTGAAGTTAGTCAGCAAATGTCACATTGCCTATACATTTTAATGGCTAAAAATGCGCATGCTTTCTATATTTGCATATCTGATTACTACTGTGAATTAATAAACCTGAGAAAGGAAAAAACAAGTATATTTCTGGGTTCGCAGGTTAGAAGAGAATCTAATTATTCTGCAAACGCAATCTTCATCTCATGATTCCTGTTACCTAAGTGATGTCATTTGGAGAACATGAACAGAATACTAAATATTGGCACTAGGAGAGTGATAACTGGCTACAGAGACATTTTCTTTAGTTAAAGAATTCCCACCAGAAAAGGGGAAAAAACTTCCTGTAGATGTAGTTACAGCTCTGTGCAGGTATTCCACTCTGGAAAGTCAGGCTCTTGAACCCATAATCACCAGAAGTGCTTGCAGGAGATGCTGCCAGCAGACTTTTGAAGTGGTACTCATCATGATACATACACTATCTACATGAAACCAGCTAGAGCTTCATCTTGATCATCTAAGAAATCTGTGGGAATGTAAAGAAATCTCCAGGGAAAGAAGGGTGCTTTCTCAGTCTGCAATGGTCATTCTCCTGAATAAGAAGCCTGCCTTTCTGCTCCTATGCAATGTCCCTTTGTTTCTCTTCCTGTTTATTACTGCAGAGGAAATACAGTACTTAACATACTCTAACAACAATATACAGAGCTTCAGTGTCTTTCTCAAGCAAAGACATTTTGAAGGAAAATATATCACAACATCACACTGTTATATTTGTCATGATACCCAGATATGTGATAGAAGTGATGGTATCTGTGCAAGTTTCAAACTTGTGGGGAAAGAGGGAACAAAGTCAAACTTAGGGCTCACTAGTCTCCTTGGGATTGACACGTTTTGTTCCAGCTCTTGCAAGCAGTCTTGGTCTTAGAGAGAGAACTGTGCCCATACAGATATGGAGGTATTTCTACTGAGAGTTGGAAGATCACAATCTAAGGCCCCAGTGTGCTTGAAAATCAATTATTCAAATTCAAATCAGTTGATTACTCAAAATCAATTGATTAAACTGTAGATCACTGTACAGCTGAACAAAGCAGAAAATGCCTATGTGGATTTCTGCAGGCAGCAAAACCTCTTCCAGTCAAAACCAGCTAGACTTATAGACTTAGAAGCCAGGTAATTATAGCAGTGCAGTATTGAAATTCAGCTAATAAGCTCCAGCATAAATCTCAGTGTAACAGCAGAGATCAGAATGACAATAAATTGGCTGCTCAAATTGCATCAGAGATATGAGCCATCAAGACCTCCATGTTCTTCCCAGCTGTCAGCTAGCCTATCTTCTTGTCCTGTAATAACCACAAAAAGGACCTCTGCTGAACTTGCTTCTGTTTTGGATGGCCAGGAAACTGAATGCATCAACAATTAGTTGTTGGAACTCTTGTTACTGAGAATTTTTGACTTTCTGTGCTGACAGGCACTGATCTCTATACCATCTCACACATTTAATCCCAACCTTAGCAAAAAAAAAGCAAAGAATCCACATTAGTGTTCACAACTACTACACAAAAATGTTTTCAGTGTTCGTTTAATATACAGGTTGGGCTTTCTGTACCTGTTCCTATAGTTAAAACAAGCATTAAGCAGTTTCTTAGTATGGTTTGAATTCCAATGCAGGCATTTTGTAAAAGGGGAACGAAGGTGAGATAAGAATTCTAGACAGAAAATGTTCAAATTACTCTCAAGAACATGCATGCCTTCTCTTATTTTAATGAAATTATTTCCCATTAATGTCAGCTTGAACAAACAACCCCCAGGCTATAAATCAAAACATAATTAAAAAGGAATAATATAAAAATGGCTGTAGTTACCTTGTGATGTTCATGAGGTACATACTTATATTCTAGTATTTTCTTAAAACACAAACTATGCCAAATCCCCACTCTTACATCCATGTTGCCAGCAAATATCAAAGTTTGTCCTGAAAGTTTTAAGTCACTGGCTATAAAAGTAAATAATCTGAAAACTAGGTTCTTATATACTAAGGACAATTTAAAGGACGAAAAATTATCTTCATGTGTTTAAAGAACATTGAAAAGTAAAAAAAAGTCCTCTTAGGGAAAATGGATAGAAATGGGATATTTTGTTACACCACACATCTTCTGAGACCAGCAGTTACAAGACACTTTATTTTCTTTTATACTTTATTTTCTTTTGTTTGATATAAGGAAAATTATATGACAGAAACACACTGTCATATAATGACAGGGTAAGTAATGATCTACTAAAATAGATTGTGAAAAACCCCACCATAATCACAAATCAGTGCTAACCCTCAGCAAACCTCCATATCTCACTGATGATATTTAATCTCACTGCAGAGGCAGTGAATCCTTCTGGTTCTAGCTTTCTGACCTTCTCCATAGGAACCATGTTAAATATCACTGAGGTCAAAAGTGATACAGTGGCATATGGGGCACTTCAAACCCACACAGTGCTTTTTATGTATTGAGAAACTTCAGTTATAGAACTGAATTCATATTGTACTGCGTTAATTCATATTATTAATATACTCTCCTGGAACATGAAGATTCACTATTACAGTTTATGAAATCCTGTGATTCTGTGCTCACACAGAATGAAAGGAAAAAGCTGGTAAGCAAACAGGCCTACACAATATCATGTTTATAATTTACTCATTACATTTTTAGATTATTCCAATATATATTGTGTATGCTCATTTTAATAATATAGGCAAGTGGGTTTGTGCAAGAGTATCCACTGTGAGACATGAAATACATAGAAATCATACTATCTTAGGAATTTTCCAAATATAAATTATTTGGGAGAGTTTAAAAATTAAGTATTATATATACAAAAGTGCTTCCACACTTTTGTAAGCATCTGTTTATGGCCACTGGAGGCAGGTGACTGGGTACAACAGTTTTTCATATGTGCTCCCTATATTCTTCACACTTTATATTCTTAACATATTCAATTCAGTTAAAATATAAATCTCAAATTTTAAGCTTATCTACAAATACTGCAATCAGAAATTAATTTTATTTCTATGTATCTCAGAGCAGGTGGACTTTTTTCAAATTTGTATTTCTAAACCATATAACTAAACAGAAATATGTTAAACAATGATTTAAACATATCTATTTTCAACATTTGCAATAAATAAAATTGATGAAAAGCAACATCAAAAATTATGTTGAGTAATACTTTGTCAGTGGGCTTATGCTGTGATATTTATCATGAACAGACAGTTGCATTGTTCAAAACAGTACTTAGCAAAAAAAAATCAATCAGTAAACAGGAATATAAAGGAAATTTACCTCAGTATCTGTTTTCCTCCCTTGCCAGTCAGAGCATCAGGTTTTTTCCTTTCAAAAATTTTAGGTTTAGCTGAGGTCTGCAATAGCCAAATTTTTACAAAACAAGTTAAATCCTAACCCAAATCAGTTACAGAAGTAAATAGGATTTGCATGGATTTACTTTATTGAAGTCAAGAAATTTTTGTAATTGAGGAACTCCAGTATTAAAGATGATGGCTAGCATAGTTTATCATATTATCATATCTGAGCAGATGTGATTCTGTGACACACGAGGCAAGACCAATGCCAAGGTTGCCTTCACTGTTTTTGTAATTTCTATAAATATTGAGAGCTGCTATATATGATTATTTTCCATAGCACTGTTTTTGCTGGTACGGTTTACTCCAGGCCTATCTCAACTAAAATTAGCCATGGTTGTACAAGCAGCTTTCCAGCTGTAGCAATCTATAACCTTGGGCCTTTTCTGCAAAGAAATCCCAGTCACAACTCAGATGCCACTCTGCTAGCAACAGTTTGTGGCAAAAATCTGGCCAGAAAGAATGGCCTTTTTAAAGAACCACTATAGCTCTTCTTTGCTTGGCTCTGAAACTGATTTCTGAACATCATCAGAGAGTGCCTTTGAGATCTGTGGACTCCAAATCCTAAACCAATGCTTTGCCAGACTAAAAACAAAACAAAAAATGCAAACAAGAATACACCAGAAACCATTACCTCTAGCATGAGCTCTCAAGATTGTGAAATTTTTTATTTCTTTTAAAACTGTAATTTAAAACTGACTGCATCCTTATGGGCCAGATAAGACAAACATCAAAAGCACTCAGAAGATAAATATATTCTGTAAATAAATTTTAAAAAAGGCAAACAAGCACTCAGTAATAAAAAGGTAAATAAAATAAATGGCTTCTCAGAAACATCTTTGTCTTCTGCCTCTGCTGCAGGCTTCAGGAGGGATCCAAAACAAAGAGGAAAAACCTGCTGGCTTTTCACCACCTGGTATTTTTTAATACCTGCCAGTAAAAAACTTCTATTCTATGATTTTTTTTCTTACTGTCAGCTATAAAAAAATTACAAACATAATGAGATAAAACAAAGGCTTGAAAGAACACTATATTCTCTGTAAATAAGAGAGTGTCACCAGGATACACTGTTGTCACAGGACAGCAATACCTTGTGACATATTTACTATGCAAGGTAAGGAAATTGTAAACCTGTGGGTAAATCCTTCTAACTCAACAGCAGCCAATATTACTGTGCAATATTACTCTAGAACACTGATATTTTACTACAGTTGAAAGAGTCTGTACTGAATGTACATCTACTGCTTCTATTGTTAAAGTGGACTGTTAAAAGAGAAGGCAGATTTTAACACATACAGATTTTAACATATGCAGATTTTAAAATAATATAAAAGTCAAATCAAAGTTATGGCAGACAAAGACCTGAAGGGAACACATAAAGCACTGATCCTTTTGAAATCAACAGTAAACCACAGAATCATAGAATATCTCAAGTTGGAAGGGACTCATAAAGATCATCAATTCTAACTTCCTGCTCCTTGCAGGACTACCTGAAATTAAAGAGGGTCATCCAGTTGCTCCTTGAAGTCTTAGTGCTATGACCAGTTCCCTGGGGACCATGACCCAGTGATTGACCACCCCTTCAATGGAATGTTTCCATTGTTCAGTCTGCACTACCCCTGATGCAACTTCATTCCCTTTCCTCATGTGCTATCACTGGTCACCATGGAGAGGAGATGAGCAGCTTTCCCTCCTCTGCCCCCCTGGAGGAAGGTGCAGTGTGGGGTGAGGTCACTGCTCAGCAATGTGGTCACCCCTCAGCCTTCTCTCATCCCAGCTGAACCAACCAAGTGATCTCAACTGCTTCTCATAAATCTTGCCCTTGAGGCCAGACCACACAGTTCATCCTCCCTGGGACACGCTCACATAGTTGGATGCCCTTCTTAGACTGAGGTGCTCAAAACTGCACACAGCAGCTGGGATGTGGGGGTGACTGCCCTGCTCAGATCAGCAATGTACAGGGTAGATGTTTAAACTAAACTACTCACACTCTGCTCAGAGGTCAGGAGGAGGGACAGAAAAGTCCCCAGGGAAATTAATTTCATCTTGACCTAAAACATATGTGATACTTTGCACATGATTCTTTCTTCATGGATTACAGAGGATTCCTCTACGACTACTTTAGAATGGCTATTTGATGTTTAGAGAACTAAAGATAGGAATAGTAATCTGAAGATGACTATTTTGCTCTCATATGATACTGAAATCATGAGAGTAAATAATTAACTGCTGAAAATATAATGTGCTAACTACCTTGAGTGTCGATGGCAAAATCCTAGATCCCAGTGCCTCACTAAGCAACATGCCAGCGTATATACCTCACTTCAAATGGTGTCTTACGCATATTTAGGCGTTTTTATAGGGAGCTGAACATAGGCACTCCTCTTGCTAGCATGTTCAGTAATAAAATCTGCTTTTATTTCCTTTCTTCCTCCAGAAGTTCTCAGTTTCACTGCTAATGTAAAAATATTAACAGTTAACATGAGCATTTCCCAGGCTTTTTCTTGGTTTCATGCTGGAAAGTTCATTTAAGCAATTCTTTTAGATTTCCCAAAGTAGCAATGAACCGTGTAAGGGAATCAGTTGCCTACTGTGCAAACACATGCTAATTACAGGCTCTTACCCCAGTTAGCTATGAAAGGGACTCAGTGGCAGCAATTCTTGAATATCACACTAAGCTATTACTTTTACATTATTTAGGAATTTAGAGCTTTTCTAGAATAATAAGTACTATAAATCTTTACAGATTTCTTTGCAGGTTTCTCCAGTTTGTAGTATTAAATTTCATGTATTACATAATTTCCATCAATAAAACTTCACCTGTGATTTCATCAAAGCAAGGTGTTTTATCCCTGCTTTATAAAGCAAATGGAAATATATCCTGTGTTTAATTTTGAACTGGATGGATAGTTTATCTTTAAAAGAAAAAAGGAGACATATGAAAAGGAGGAATTACTACTTAAGGTGGATGTCACTACTGCTGACAATTCGCCTCTGTTCTGTTCAACTGCACAGCAGTCTTGTGACTAATGGATGGCCAAGCATCAGAAAATTGCTTCAGTTTTCTCAGTTATGGGCACTTTACTATGCTAGGGAACACTGAAACTCCAATCGATACAAAAGCAAAAAAAGTATTTAAAATAAACTGTATGATCTTTCAATTTATGGCTCTTATATTTTTTGAAAATCAGCTTTTGTAAGGTATTTGGTATACAAATGAAGTAGTAAAACACTCTGATCTAATGGCATTACAGATACTGTTTTTACATTAAGAAAGCATTAAAGTTACTGAGTCACACATGTTACTTACCTGTAAGATCTCTGAGAGGTACAAGCGCCGCTCATCATTAACTTTGTGGTAAGCCTACAGTTAAAATGAGATATAGGCTCATCATTAAGAACAAACTTTAAAATCTGAATCATACAGAAGATTCAGATATACAGCAGAGCCTTTTTTCAGTGACACATTTTTTTGGAACTATTCTATTGTGTGTTCCACACACAATCTGTTTGCAACACAACATAACAGCTTTTACAGTCTAGAGGGATAGAGTGATTACAAACCTTTGTTTCTTGTTCCAGTCTAAGTTCATAGTCCTTTAGCTGGTTCTGGAGAATTTTCTTCTCTTCTTCTAGCTGTTTAAGAACCTCCTTTAAGGAACCCTGTGATTATGGTAAATAAAACAATGTTTTACATCTATTTCCATTCTCTATAAAGATGACATCACCATAGTCCTTATTCTTCAAGCATTATGATGTTTGTCATTCTCTTTGGTTCCTGTGCATTTTTTGTTTTCATGGTTCTAGCTGGCACACTCCAGAGGCAAAAGCAATTAGCCGTATGCTTCAATTACCAGCTATGCATTACACATTTCCACTGTGTTAAAATGACACAGGTACATATTCCACACTGCTGCTCCTTGGCATCTTAAGCAAATGCACCTTGTGGTAACCAGTCAGAATTGCTCCTTTGCTCTAAGCAAAATTCCCTCTGATTGCTCCTTTTTAGTAGGAAGAAGCTTTCACATCTTACCAGGACATCCATTTTCAAACTGCTTTCTGAGAGAGCTGCTGGGCTGGTTGAAGAACCACATGGGACATCCAAAGTAAGTCATACCAATTTGGCTAGAAAGCAATACTTCGTGGGGTGTGCAGCCATCTACATTGTCTACAATAGGAATAAGTAACACCAGTAGAGTCCATTTTTGGTTACTGGCACTAGCCACATCTTTGCTTGTTGTGTAATGGAATTAAAACACACACCCACACTTGGGAGGACCCAAGCAGGTCCTCTTCTACTACTAACACAGGGAATTGCTTTTCATAATCCCATTCATAATTTGATCCATTCCATCCAGTGGAGACATAATTATATGAGTTTCGTCCTCCAAATTCAGGAACACTGCATTACAATAAAGAGGAATTTGGGCAAACATACCAGGAGGCCTGTGTGGATGAACAAGCAGCTCCTGAACAAATTACAAAGGAAGCCTAGAGGAAGCCTAGAGAAAGCCTAGAGAGCCTTGAGGAAGCCTAGAAACGTAGACTGGTAGTCTGGGAGGAATACAGGGATTGTTTTAACAGTCAGGGATCAGTTTAGGAAAGCTACAGCCCTGACAGAATTAAGCACAGCCAGGAAAGTCAAGGGCAACAAGTAAAGCTTCTATAGGTATGTTAGTGATAATAGAATGTCTAGGGAGAATGTGAATCCTTTCCAGAGAATGGCTTGAGAGCAGTCTTTAGAAGGAGGACTTGGGATGTTGGTAGATTAAAATCTTGGCATGATCTGGCAATGTGGCTTGCAGTCCAGAACGCCAACAGTTTCCTGGGCTGTATCACAAGTGTGGTGAACAGGCTGAGGGAAGTGATTCCCCTCCTCTGCTCTGCTCTCTTGAGACCCCACCTGGAGTACTCCATCCAACTCTGGGGTCCCCAAGATAAGGATATGGACTTGTTGCAGCAGAGAAGGACCAAAGAAGGACCACAAAAGTCACAGGGCTGGAGCACCTCTCCTCTGAAGACAGGCTGAGATATTTGGGGTTGTTCAGTCTGGACAAGAGAAGGCCCTGGGGAGACCTTACAGCACCTTCCAGTACCTGAAGAGGGCCTACAAGCGAGCCAGAGAGGGACTTTTTACAAAGCTACGTAGTGACAGGACAAGGGGTAATGGCTTTAAACTGCAAGAGAACAGGTTTAGATGAGCTATTAGGATGACATTTTTTACTGTGAGCGTGATGAGGCACAGGTACAGGTTGCCTAGAGAAGTTGTGTATGCCCCATCTCTGGAGGTCTTCAGGGTTGGATGGGACTCTGAGGAAGACAATCTGGTGTAAGGTGTCCCTGTCCACGTCATGGGAGTTGGAATTAATAGGTCTTTAAGGTCCCTTCCAACCGTAACCATTCCGTTATTCTATTATTATTCAAGGTTGGTTTACACCTGTTTGTTCTTGTACTTAAATGTGTTTAAATAACTGTTCTTCCTCCTCCCTGCTGTTTCTCCCCATGTATATACTGAAGACATGAGCATCTTTTTTCCACATTCATTTTATGAGGATGATTAAGCTGAACTTGCAGAAATTATCTTTCACACACCAGGCTGTCCTTTCATCCTAGTAATCCCTTTGTACACCAGGCTGGAGCTCAACCTTCTTATGGCTAGAGAACAGAACTGGCCTACATTATGCAGTACTCCAAAAGCCATCTCATTGCCTTGAACAATCACTGATACTTTTTTACCGACATAAATTTTAGGATTCCATTTTCCTTTTGCACAGCTGCACAATAATGGCTCACAGTCAACAAGGCATCAGCTAGAATACCTAGATGCTCCTCTGCAGTTGTATCTGTTCTTAATTCATAACATAATTTCTTTACTCTTTTCTAAATCCTTTGGTCTACACTGTTAAATTTTACTCACATTTTTAATAATCTAGTCTTCCCTGTCTTTCTTTTCCTAAACCACATCCAGATCCTAATTATATTATATAATTGGTTTCAGGAGAGAGATATCACAATCTAATTCTACTGTGTGTATCAAGGTCATGCATTAAATATTAAGGTTCATCTTAAACCTGGTCCTGGAAGACCTCTGCTTGTACTCTCCCAGCAGACTCCTTCACTAATCACTGCTATCATGTTCCATTTGCCAGCTCTTTACTCCTCTAACAAATCTATTCATTTTCATTTTCTCCAAATTAATCAGTCACTTCCCATGCGACATGATATCTTTATCAGAGGTCACAGTGAACAAGATCACTTATTTATTGTGACAACACAATATTGTTTTATCACAGAATGTCAACAGGTTTTCCCACCATGAGCCCCTTTTAATAAATCCATATTTCAATTTCATTTTACAACTATTCCTCTCTTTAAACTGAAAAATGAGCTTTTCTTCAGTGCACAAAATGTGCACGTTATTAGAACCACTTGCTTTCATATCAGTGATATGACAAGCCAGTTCTTTCAGAATCCTGAGATATGGATTACCCATTTGCCTCATTTCAAGCATATACAGCTCTTTGAGTTTTCATTAGGATTTGGTTATTGTCATTTCTTCTTCCAAGTACTTGCTGACATTACCTATTTTTTCCTTTCCTGCATTTTATAGTTTCTGCCTTTACTTAAAACTTAGGCAATATGTACATGTTTAGTTTAAAGTGAATTAATTCATGATCACTTGATCTGACAAGTTTTTTGACTGGCTTTTCTGCAATGTTCTGGTAGATCTTAAAAATATAAATAGCATTGTGTCCCTTTCATCTATTATTTTCTGATAAAATGTGTTAATTATCCATTGAGTTTTGTGCCTCATCATTATTAGTACTTCTTTTTAGTCTTTATTTACAAGTCTAGCATACAATACAATTTCAGTCTAATATATATATAATATTCTAATATAATATATATTATATATATTCTAATATATATATAATAGTCTAATATAATATTATATTCAAATTCATCCATCCAACTATTATATTTATATGTATATATATTTGACTGGATGGATTCAGTCTGAGGTGAGGGTATCCACATTTGAGTGTGCAAATGTGAACTGAACTCCTACTAAGAGTCAGAGTGAAGACAATCAATGATATGCAGTGATTCATTCAGCTAAGCAGCTAAAGAGCTCAGCTCAGTTCCATTTGAATTGCTCTAGAGAGTCCAAGACATTCACGTGTGGCAGATATGACACATGGGTTACACAGGACACCTCCTCCTGGAGCATTAATGAGCGACTGCGCACTGAAACATCTTGAAAACTCTTTGTTTACACAACTATTCCACTGAAGATGCCAACTAAATAAATCTAGACACAAATCTCTTTACTTAGCTGACTATATTAATAAGACCTGTAACTGCCTATAGTAGGAATTAAAAGACCTGGTGAAGAGGTAGACAGCTACGTATGGAAAAGTAAAGTATTTTTTTTATTAGCATAAAAAAAAAATATTTAAGAGATTCATATTGTTCAATGTACATTTCAATATTATTTCCCAGTACTATTGTGACTAAACTTTGTTTTCCAAACCATTTTGAAGATTAATTAATCCAAATAGCTGACTAAGACAGAATCAACAACATTATTGTCAAAGTCCTTCACGTCTGCTACATACCACATCTATCTCTGTTTTGTTCTTTCCTGGCAAGTGTGTACCTTTAACACTTGTCACCCCTTCATGGTTTTGCTATCAATGCTATTACATTCCTGGACATTCAGGTTCTTCCATTTGTTTGCTCAGGCCCCCTATGTAAAATTAGTATCTGGTTTGGAATTTTTTTTTTCTATTTCTAGCACAAGCACCTCCTTAGTCAAAATAGATGAATCCTTTCCTTTCTATACTGATTACTTGACCATTCCCTTAATAATAATTTATTTCTTCTCACAATTTTAATGCTTTACTAGGCTTTTGTTTACCAGATTTTCCTGGTAAGCACTGAAACAAGATAATAATTCTCCAAATATTTTTCCATTCTTTTTTCCATAGGAATTTATAATTTTTCCCTTTTTATCATGCTAGTCTCAGATCCAGAAGGCCAGTATCCACATATGTTTTATTTCTCGGAGAGTTTATGAATGCTTGCTGCTGGTAAAAATATTACATCTGCCTGTTTTAAGTCTCCAGTCTTTTCTAGCATCTGCAGATTATTGCAACTTTTATTCTTTTACATAATTTTCCACATACATGTTACTTTTTGGTTCCAATTTTTTTTTTTTTTTCATTTTAAAAATTCTGGGTTTCCTGAAGATTTCCCTAGGGAGAATTTCTCTTAAAATCAAGATTTTGCAGGAGCATGGCGAAAGGCACAGTACTTTTAAAACATTGCAAGAGAGAATAACCCCTCCCATTGTTCAAAAGAAAAAAAAGAGATACAGAAGAGTTGTATCTTTGAGGAGTATTTTGCCCCTGATTCAACCATTATTAACTTTAATCTGTTACAACAGGCATACTGGAGACATGAAAAGAATTGAGGAGTAGTTGCAGGTTTTTTTCCTAATTAAAGCAGAAGTGCCTTGGATGCAGATAAAATCTTTGTCCAAATACAGAAGGCTCCTACAGTCAATTCAGGCAATGTTGGCCAATTCAAGGAGAAAAAGTAAGCTGCAGATTAAAGAGAAGATTTGGCTTAATTCCACTAGGGTCATGTGCTATTTCATT